GTTTTGGTTCAACTGAAAACCATTTGTAATCATGTTTCTACCATCAACAAATGACATTAGGCAATATTAAGTATAGTAACAACACTGCCCTCTCTAATTTTTTCTGAAAAATAAAAAAAACAGCAATAGAAACTGAACAATTACCTGGCATTACATAGCAAAAGCCAAATCTTTCAGCAGAAAAAGTAATAAATGTAAGTTATGCCTTTAAGAAAAACTTATCCTAAAACATATAGATAACCCTAATTTGTTAAACAAAAGAAGTGAATTAATGACCACGAGCAGGTATAGAAACAAATACATGCTCAAGCATGTTGACCCAGATTACTATAGTTTTTCTCATTCAGACCCCACATCTACCACTACTGTGGTGGTTGTTTGTTTGTGTTATTTTTATCATATTACTCTTACCTATTTTATTATTGCTGTTACCGATTATTTTTATTATTGCTATCAATTTTTAAGCGTTTTACCTCAGGCAAAAAAGTTATCCCCCATGAAACATAGCATGAATCCTTTCTAACATATCTAGCTATCAGCATTCTCTGCCTTCTTAAATTGGAATTTTTCATTTTTAATTCTAAGTGCAAGTTTGAACCTAATTTAGATTATAGTACAACTTAATATTTAATAATAGTAATAAATTACCCCACTACACTAACACCATAAAACCCAGAAATTTAAACCCTATAACAGCCAGTTTATTTATACTTGATGATTGCCTAGTACATGAAACTCATGTCAGCATGGGGCATTTCTGAGTGCTTTCAGCTATACTTTTAGCAATTATCAAGGATGAAATTATTTTCACTTTTTAACTGAATGTATGGGTTGTGTATATGTATCTAAAGGGATGTTTTATTTTACAAACACAGCCAGCACATTGTGGCTGTGTTCATAGTTAATGTTATTGAGTGTTGGCTTTTTTATTATTAGGGCTTCCATAATTTTTTTTTTTTTTTTTTTTACACATGTGGATGAGGTTATTATGCTTGTATTTTCTGCTAGTATGTTTCGGATGGAGTCTTTTAGGTTTGTCTGTTCTCATAGTTGTGGTTGGATAGTTGTAAAGTGAGTCATCTGGATAGGCATGTAGTAGTGTGACTGATGTAATTATTTACAAGTTTGATTTGATAAGGAACACAGTTCCTTAAGGGGCAGTTGAACTCGTAAATGTTTTTTGTAGTTTTGATTTTGCAAGTGTCTTATTTTTGAGGATAAGGTTAGCTGTTCTCTATTTTTTGTAATAGATAATTTAGCTTTTTGTTCAGTTCAACTGGGGTAGTGTATGTCTTCATGTATTTCTAAGTGAAGATTCATCTTGCTTATAGTTGATGTGCATTTGGCTTTTGTAGAAGATAATGTTATTGTTTTTGTGTTCAGTACCGTTATTCTTTACTTTAGAAAGAAATAGTCTAACCTGGTGGTCAATAAGGTAGTTAGGAAAACCATTGTTAACTAGTGTCTGTTTTACATTGTTGAGTTCTTTAAGGAAAAGTAGATAAGAGGATGAATTCTCATGTGCTCTCTTTAAGAAATTTTTTTTATCACTGCTATTTTGTATCTAAGTGGGCATTTACTCTTAAAATTAAAGTGGCAAGAGTTTGTACTAGTGTTTTTTTTTTTTTTATATATATATATATATATATATATATATATATATATATATATATATAATGAAATGGACAAAGTCTGACAATTATTAAACAACATAAATGACAGTTCCATATAGGATACAGGTTCGAATCCTGTTGGAGGACGAATATTTTCTGTGAAAATTTCTGACATTCAGGCCGGTAAATGTTTAATACTGTTTATTATAAAAACAGAGCATTTACTTAAATATTTGTATCTTAAACATAAAAATGTCTTTTTTTTTATATATATATATATATATATATATATATATATATATATAAATATAATGTGTGTAGTGTAAGTGTTGTTACTGTATTCTACAAGAACACCTAAGACTGGGAGTTTATTTTTTGACTTAGTTCATAAGTAAAGTTAAAGACTATTTATATATATTTTTTTTTTTTTTTTTTTTTTTTTTTTTTGGGGTTCTGAGATTATCTATTTCTTGTGATTTTCACTAAAATAAAAATATCTACATAGATGGCATATATTTTGGGTTTAGTGACCTTCATTTTTTTTAATGAAACATATATAAAAGAGGGATTGTTGCCTAAGTACACAAAATATATAGTGGATGTGTGTTTGAGTAGACATTCCTGTTCTTTAAACTGTAAATTTACATCTACTAGTCTGCATTATTTTTGATAAAGAAAATGAAAATTTACTTTCTGATAGTATTTGAACCTGTGTTCATCTTACAAGGGAAGTCATTAAGCCTGTCATGTTTTGAGACTGCTCGGCTATGGAAAACTTTTGCAGTCAAGCGAGGTTCAATTATCCTATTGACGAAAAGCATATCTCTTATTTGGATCTCTGCAAGCTAATATCTGCCTTCTGAAACCTGTAACTTATAAAATAGTTTATAATCTAACATTTGTTTAAATGTATTTAGTGAATACACTTGAGTTGGCATCAATGTCTTCAAACTGTAAATTTGTGTACTGGCCTGTACGTTGGAGTCTTAAACATACATGATTATTCAAAGAGCAGATTTTGAAAATTTAAATGCTCAGTCAGAAGCACATTCAGCACATTACAAGATAAGAAAAAGATCAGTTATTATATTAATATTTTCCCATCTTTAAATGCTCCCCCGGATATTCTATAAATTTCAATTGTTGTAATTGGTGTCAACCCTTAAAATAGCCACACCACAAGAAACATTGTTTTGTGTACTGCAATTTGCAAAGTTTAACCATAAACTTTGAACCTTTTCCTGTCCTGTAATGTTTCTCTTAGCATGTTTTTATTAAATTTTCAAAATTTGCTCTTACTTTTTTGTGTGTGCATGCACACACACACACACACATATATATATATATATATATATATATATATATATATGCGCATGCACACACACAGCCTCTAATGGTTGGTTTTTGTTTGTTTGTTTTTTTTTGTCTGGGGGAGGTTCCTATTTTCTCATTGTGAAAAGGCTTGTGATGTCAGATTTAAGTTTTTATTTAAGAATGTTAAACTTTAAAAACTGGCTTGATCTCGAATACTGTAAGTTTTTTTTATATTTGCAGTCTAAAATTTAAGTAACCTAAATTTTGCTTTCCCAATCTGTTTTCACCAAATTATAAAACTGGTTTTATTTCATAAGGATCTTTTATTTCTTAAACTGGAATACTTAAAACAATTGTAATGTTTTAATACTTGATTCTTTCAAAATATCTTGGAAGAGAAAGTGTTTATTCTAATATTTTCTAATTTTTACTGCCAGCCGTGGTGACTGGTTGGTTTCTCTATCCATCAAATTGCTTACTGTTATGATTCCTGTTTCCATGCCTACCGTTAATGATTGCTTCTTCGTCTTGATGTGTCTGCTACTGTTTTACCTGGTGTCTATCCTCTATGATGCATAATTCCTATGTTTGTTAACCAACTCTTAATGCTGTTGCTTGCCTGAACAGAATTTGTAATTTTGAAATTTGAGCTTCTTTTCTATTCCTCTCACTTTTACGACAGTTAACATCTGCTAATGTGCTGAGTTGTCCTTTTTTTTTTTTTTTTTTTCTGTGTTTTCAAATTTTTTGCATTGTCTCAGTTGTGAAACTGAAGTAACTCAAATGCCATAACTTTTGTTTGCATTTCTATTGTCACTTTCCTTTTTAGATAAGCCAACACTGCTAGGTAACCACCCACCTTATTTTTCTTGTTTCTCATCTCCCCCCAACTCTGTATATATCTATTACTATCAGTAGTGCTACTGCCTTTTCTGACTCCAGTACACATCCCCATCTTTGCTATTGCCATTCAGGCTAAAGTTAGTAAAAGTACCTGTACCCCACCTCTATACATCTTATTTAACTTACAACTGGCTCAAAGGAATGTACAGACTGCTGCTGATGTTTCTATTACTATTTGCATCCTAGCCATGGTGACTGAAATGCCTACTTGCTGCTTGTAGTGGTGGAGGAAGGGAAGTCTGGCCAAGTTTAGCTGTAACTAAAACACAACTTTAGCTCTTGTATGACATTAGTTTTTGTGTGTTAAATAAGTTACAAACTTCTTTCTCCAGGATCTTTTTTAACATTTTAGCAAAATACGAGGTTGGCCTCGCATATGGATATAATAAAGCGGGGTCACAACTCTTTGGAAGAATGTTCATCAAATGATAACATTTCTTACCCTCCTCATAGATGATAGTCTTCCCTGCCTGTGTATGTTTCTGAATCCTTTGAAAAAAAAAAATCTGTGAATAGTCATCTGTTACCTATAGACATTACTTTTCTGTAATGCTGTCATATGTACACACATTTCATATAATTGTAGTCAGGAATGCATGTAAGATTACATGGCAGCAATGGGTCATGCAGTTTTCAACTTTGCTTCAAAAGGAAATAGACATGTTTTGAAGTGTCATCTTTCTACAACCTTCAATTTAAACTAAGTTGTAGAAATAAAACTTCATCTACACTATATGTATGTGTATGAGAGCTATATTAAAGTAATGAGATTCTTATTAAACTTTAAATTATTTTTTTGTATTTCATTTTGTATATAATTGGGGCTATTATTCTCTTGTGTAGGTTTTTTTTCTCCTCTCCATTTTAAGTTTCCTTTTACTTTTTACTTAGTCAGCATTAAACTAGGCATCAATATTAAACCATTATTAAAAATATTCAATAGCCACAACAATAACAAACTTTTACTGTTTTTCAAATCTAATTTACAAATTTTCCAAGCAAGCTGAATTAAAGATTTCTGTTTTAAACACAGAAATACAGATTTTCATTTTTAATGTTTATTTTTAATAGAAACTTCAGTTTAATAGTTTTAATTTTAACAAGTGTCTTTTTGCTTTTGTTATCCACTGAAGTGTCTTGTATATATTTTTGAATCTGCCTTTATTACAGTCGGAGGTCAAACAAAATCCAGATCAGGAATGTGCCTCCCCATGTTAGCAAAGAAGAAATTGACCGTATAGTGTCCACATTTGGGCCAATAAACAGATGTGATCATGGTGAGTTTTCATTATCATCACTCTTTTACAGAGCTGCTTCCTCCTTATCAGTTTTTCAATCATTGAAGTTTATAGCATAAAGGATTTGTCACTAAAATATCTATATGCAATCTCCATGTAGAACTTTTTTTGCTTAATATCAATGTTTGTGTTGATTGTTGCATGTAATATGAATGAGCTGCCATTTAAGCTTAGCTAAAAATAATTCTTAAATTAGTCAACATTAACAATAAAAAAATTTTCTATATTAAATATTTGAAATTATTTAATTCCATTGCACTTTGGTGCAGTGGATAAAGTTTAAAGAAAGTGATTGAAAATAAAAACTAATAAATGTAGGAATTAAGTTTACTCTGTATCCTCCTGGCATAAGTTTAAACTGGCACAATCTTTCTGTAGATCTAAATTATAATTATGAACTAATTTTGGCAAGGAAAAATTTCACTGAAATATATTGGAAAATTTCCAAGTTTTTATTTGAAACCAAAATATAAACTTTAAAATGTCCTGAAAAGACAGTATGTAGAAAAGTAGGGTGTCATTTTAAACTGACACAAGGAGAATATGGTTTAAATTTTTATCCTGACTAGATTAAAAACTTTAAATAAAAAGTTTAACTTTATATGAAATATCTATGAAAATACCATCTGATCATAGCTAAAAAAAAAATGACTTTCCAGTTCTCTTCCAAAATATACTTAATTCTTTTAGATTTTATTTGAAGATAATAAATAAAAATGTACTATGAATTAATTTTAATTTCTTAGTGGGTTTGTTCTTGTGAGGTCATTTAGCTGAAGTTATCATTATTTACTTTTTTTTTTTTTTTTCCAGTTAGTAATGAAGGTGTAGTGTATGTAACTTTTGACAGTCAGGACCTAGCACAAAAGTAAGTATCTTTCTTTTTCACATGCACACGTAGTTACTATAGTCTCTTATAATAAAACAAGCTTCTATTTCAGGTGGATATTTTGCTCTAAAAGGAGAAATGATATTAATGGAATTTACCAATAGGAGTAGATAGGTTCACACAATTCTCCAGTCTTTTAAAGGTTTATCCCTTGTTTCCTGTTTACAATTGAGTTTCCTGTTCCTCCTAAAGTCTACTTAAACTCTATACTTGTAATGTCTTCACCTAAATACTGAAATTTATTTACTATTTCTTTTTTTTTTTTTTTTTTTCCTTAATAGGAGTAGATATATTTGCTTGTCAGCTTCACACTTCTCCCTGGTCTTTTGAACAGAAGTTTATCCCTTGTTCCCTGTTTAGTATTGGGTTTCCAGTTCCTTTTAAAGTTTTCTTTCACGTTCAGTAACCCCCTTGTCTTAGTGGCAGTATTTCCTTGGGGTAAATGGATTTAAAAAAAAAAAAATCTTATTTTCCTTATATTTACTCATGAAAGTTGGGCATGCCTTGCAATCTGTGAACCAAAGAAAAAAGTTTCAAGTTTAATGGCTGATTCTATGAGTGATTCATTTGTTTATCAACTGTTTGCAGGTTATTTAAAACCAGAAAATACTTTTAGGTTGTAAGAATTCTTTGAAGATAATGAGTTGACTAATACAAGTTCTACTAGTTAACCAATAGCTGCAGGGAGAAGGGGTAGATTCATGCCTTTCTCAAGGGTATTTATGTATGTGAATATAACAAACCCAACTAGAATTGGAACTTTGATCCCTGATTTCCAATTCCAAGTTGTTATCTATTACACCACTCTCACATCCAAGCTTACAGCACCTGTTATTCCTGAGCGGTCACCCATCTGACCAGGTAGAACATTGCTTAACTTTGATGATCATACAAGAACTGATGTTTCAACACATGGGGATAAGTCAGCTGATTCTATGATGGCAGAATGGATTGTACATTTGTTTTAGTTGGGGGTGAAAAGGAAAAGCTTGAATCTCTTTGGCAGGTGGTTAGGAAACACCTGGCTTCAATCCTAATGAAGAACAGCACCAATTTTGACAGCATTTGACACAGGTGGTTAGTTAAAAATATAATCATAGTACATTGATTTATGTATGTAGGTCCCATCGACTTGCTTGTGAGGTATAAGGCCAAAGCTTCACCATACTAGGTATTACTGCTATTATTTCTGTGACAAATACGTTTTTATGGTGTGTAGTTGGTAGCCATTCATAAAACCAGTTTTTAATTTAGTCGTCTTTTTCCTAGACTAGTTGCTAACCAAGGTTATCAGGTTCAGTTTGTTCTGCTATTAAACTAGCTGGAGGGAGAGATGAATTCATAATACAATGGCTTTGGCTAGAATTTGAATTTCACACTGCTTTGTGCTTGTCCTGGGCAAGACGGTGACAGACTACATCCGTGTCCTGGGCAAGACGGTGACAGACTACATCCGTGTCCTGGGCAAGACGGTGACAGACTACATCCGTGTGCTGGGCAAGACGGTGACAGACTACATCCGTGTCTACATCCGTGTCCTGGGCAAGGCGGTGACAGACTACATCCGTGTCCTGGGCAAGACGGTGACAGACTACATCCGTGTCCTGGGCAAGACGGTGACAGACTACATCCGTGTCCTGGGCAAGACGGTGACAGACTACATCCGTGTCCTGGGCAAGACGGTGACAGACTACATCCGTGTCCTGGGCAAGACGGTGACAGACTACATCCGTGTCCTGGGCAAGGCGGTGACAGACTACATCCGTGTCCTGGGCAAGACTACAGCGGTGGGCAAGACTACATCCGTGTCCTGGGCAAGACGGTGACAGACTACATCCGTGTCCTGGGCAAGGCGGTGACAGACTACATCCGTGTCCCAAGACGGGACAGCATCCCGTGTCCTGGGCAAGACGGTGACAGACTACATCCGTGTCCTGGGCAAGGCGGTGACAGACTACATCCGTGTCCTGGGCAAGGCGGTGACAGACTACATCCGTGTCCTCCGGTGGGCAAGCGGTGACAGACTACATCCGTGTCCTGGGCAAGGCGGTGACAGACTACATCCGTGTCCTGGGCAAGGCGGTGACAGACTACATCCGTGTCCTGGGCAAGACGGTGACAGACTACATCCGTGTCCTGGGCAAGACGGTGACAGACTACATCCGTGTCCTGGGCAAGACGGTGACAGACTACATCCGTGTCCTACGGTGACAGACTACATCCGTGTCCTGGGCAAGACGGTGACAGACATCCGTCCGGGTGACAGACTACATCCGTGTCCTGGGCAAGACGGTGACAGACTACATCCGTGTCCTGGGCAAGACTACATCCGTGTCCTGGCAAGACGGTGACAGACTACATCCGTGTCCTGGGCAAGACGGTGACAGACTACATCCGTGTCCTGGGCAAGACGGTGACAGACTACATCCGTGTCCTGGGCAAGACGGTGACAGACTACGTCCAACAGCAAGGCCTCTGATCAGGAAGTTTTGAGGAGCATGGAACCATCTCTTAATTGCTGGTGTTCCCAGGTCCACCCTGATCTGGGGTGGTAGCACCTGTTAGGGTCCCAGCTATGAGCAAATAGTTAACCCCCGAAACTGAGGTAAAAAGCATTATAAAAGTATAAAATGGTGTAAAAATAGGTTTTAATACCAGCAATACATTGTAAAAAATTATTACTAGAAATAGATTTTTGACAAAACAAAATATTACTAGAAATAGATTTTTGACAAAACAAAATATTACTAGAAATAGATTTTTGACAAAACAAAATATTACTAGAAATAGATTTTTGACAAAACAAAATATTACTAGAAATAGATTTTTGACAAAACAAAATATTACCAGGAAAAAAAGTTGTCAGCATTAAATAACCCATTGAGGTTGATATGCTGTAAAACACAACAAACCAAACACACTTTGTGCACTGATCACCACTAATAGTTTAATTTTTGCATCCATTAATTTGTATAGCTTTAAAAAAAAAAAAACTCCATTTTGAGATGCCTTTTTAATCTTGAATAATTTCTTTGAGAGTTTTCTTCTTTCTGTCATCAAAGAAACATTAACTAGGAAAGTGGCAGTATTGTGTATTTTTTCCTCTTCATATTTAGCTGCATTCAAGAAACTTATGAAAAGAGCATAGGAAAGTAATAAACAGGATAAAATAAATAAATAGTTTTCACATGAGATATTTAAGAAATATTTTAAAAATTAAATGGCAAGATAGGGTCCCAGATACAGATGTGCTCAAAAGAGAAGGCAATCAGTCACTATACACCCATCCTGCAGTCTCTGTGTCACAAGTTGTTTGGGTACATTGTGCACGTGGATAACTCAAGAATTCCCAAACAGATACTGTATGGGGAGCCGTCTGAGGGCATGTGTAACATTGAATGACCCAAGCTTTGCTTCAAGGACCCATGTCAAATGTCCATGATGGAATTTTCTAATCTTGCAAACAGTTGTGGTTGCCCAGGATCTTTATGGGAGCAAACAGCCCTAGAGAGAAGTCCAGTGCCCCATAGAGGCTAGACAAAGATGCAAATGCCTTGTGGTGGATGACTCTGCAGTATTCTACTATTGTGGTTATTGTCAAAAACGGTGTCAATCACACATTGATTGTTTTACCCATGAATGGTGCTGTGTTTTAAGATGGCTTATTTTCCGCTGCTGACAGGAAAAAAAAATGGCATATATATATATATATATATATATATATATATAAATATATATAAAATCCTGCTTTTAGGACTCACATTTTATTTTATGTTCTCCTGAAATATTAACCCTTCATTTCTAGCTTTGTATTTGTGTGGGCTGGTTCTTTGTCAAAGTGTCTACACAGACTTTTACCACAACTCCTCTTGTAAACATTGCTGGCATGGTATAAAATTCAGTTGTTAGTTCAGAGTTGATATTTGTAAACACACACTCAGTTAAAAAAAATTGACCAAAAACTATCCCATTAGTCTGTTCATAAAGCATAAGCTGCTGGTCCATGACTGCCATTAAATAGTAATGAAAATCTGAAGTTAAAAAAAAATCAGCCTATAAGTTTGTTTTTGAATAGAAGGAATTTAAAGGCTCTCAGGGCAAGAATTAGTGGAATTTGTCATCTGTATAAGTATAATAGTGAAATCATAAAATTTTGCGTGTGGGAGGACTTAAGGAAACCTAGGATAACAAGGATCCAATAAGTTATTGGATTTAAAGCATTAGTTTGTGAATTTTTTGACATTGTAAGTTCTCTGGGTAAGGCAGTACAGGCTTAAACTAGGTGGAAACAACTGAATAGTACTAAATGAGAGCAAGACGAGATCTCAAGACGGTGGAATTAGAACAGGCTATGTCTGTAAATTAAGTAAAGATTTCTGTTTAAAATTCCTTGAAGGTTGGAAAGGTAAACGCATGAATAAGGCCAGAGGGCACAATGTTTGAAACACTGGGATAACAATAAAGATGAAGACTTTGATCTGAATGTAAATAACTCCTCGTCCTAGAAATTCAGACACAAACAAGTGGAAGAATGTAATTTAGGAATCACTAGTCTTTTTAAAGATGTTTTAAAAAAAAAAATAAAAAAATAGTACATTGTGTTCCTGATAGTAGTTACTAATGCAGCAATATAATCTTTAAGCATTTCTGATATATTGTTATGATAGTTGTATTAATTAGAAATAAATTCTTTAAATCATTGAACAACAAAAACTAAATCTCCACTGTATAGGATTGGTATTTTTACCTTGTATCTGTTCACTGAAACTTGTTTACTGTGTATAAGTGATACTTCCTGTTGCTATAATATTCAAGAAATCTTGTTTTGCTACTGAAATAATTCTAAGAAAAAAATTACATCTAAGAATTCACTTGTTTTATTAGGGTATGCTATTTAGTACAAAATGACTGTTTCCGGGAAGCAAAAAATTGCATAGTGAGTGAATAATGAATAAAGCCAGTTTGGGTGCTGGTTTCAT